GAACTAAACACCTTGATCTCCATATTCTCTCTCCCTGCTGTCTCCTCTCTTGCCTTTCATGAGACTGTCATCTTCTCAGACCCTTCTGCAAAACCCAGTATTTCAGGGAGATGATAAATTGGCGTGAGAATACTGTCAAAGAAAGCAAACAATCCAGTTTTGAGCTGGTCTGTTAAGAAAGTCATAAATTAACTGAAACTATTATATTTAATAAACGTTGTTAGTACTGAAATCCTTTTAAAACTATAGTATTTAAAATTACCTTTCCAATAATGATTATTCTTTTATTAAAATGATTAGAATTTTTTAAACCTTTTTTTACATAGGGTTCTCAATTTCACTGAACAACAAGTATTTCTACCCAAACCCTGGCATTCTTAATATTGACTGCTAACACGCTAATATATATTTACGTATAATCCTATCACCCCTAAGTTACACCTATGCATGTAGTTAGGTGTCAATTGGAGGCGAATCTCCAGCACTTCCTTCTCTCCATATTGTACTACTCATCTCTTTACTAAGCTTCAGTTAAGCTTTATAAAGCTGATGAGATCAGCAGAACTTAGAGTCTCATATCTTCTCTATAAATCTACTAATTTGTAAGGTTGGGTGGTGGCAGTTATCATAATGACCTATCTAATAAAGCTTATGTTATGCTGTCAGCTGTGTAAACTATAATAGATCCCATACATTGGCTGTAAGGCAGTTGTATCACATCAATGTCCTTCGCTATCACAGAGGATAAAGTAAAATTTAATTCAGAAAGTAAATATGTTAGGTTTTGATCCCAATTCTTCTGATGGGAAGAATGTTTAGATGTTACTTACTCTCCATATATGTCATTTAACAACCAGTGTAGGGGAATAATGTTTACTGTGGTTCTCTTTTGCAGCTAGAGTAACGTAGTGTGCGGGTCAGCCGCATCTTAGTCCATGCTCACTTTATACAGTGTCTGCTGACCAGAAGCCCAGCCCACTGTTTGTTTCTCATTACTTTGTTTCACCATTTTCCATAATTCCTGCTCTCCTTTGCTAATACCAAGTGAAAAAAATATGCACGCATTTTATCACTATTTCTTCTTATGTTATCCTGTTAAATCTCTTCTGGTTAGCTCTTTGGAAATAGGCGACTTACGGAGGTAAAAATGAACAAAACATTCTCTAGGCTGTTTGGAGAGCATTCGATAGAGGTTTGGGTTAACTTGATTCAGTCTATCCTTGTATCAAAGATGCTAGTGAGCTAGATCATGTGTTTATTGCAGGTATTTTTACTTCATGGGTGGATTATTTGAGTCACTCCAAAAAAATTCTACATGTATTAAGCTTATAAATTCAAAAACCAAATATTTGTGAGCCAGTGACTATGAGCTGTTATTATTCACTGAAACCTTTATTGGTGGTTTCTTGACCTTGTTTTGTTTTTTGTATCGTCACATTTTTCTCATGTGCAACCCGCTCCCCTCAGTCATCTCTCCTGATACACAGTGATTCTCAGTTGGCCATCCTCCCCAGTGAGAGTCTCTGCTCTACTAAGTAATTTTATTCAGTGCCATTTGTAACCTGATAATCTATTATCAGTAACCGTATTAAATCAGTATTTCTCTTAATCTCAATTAATAGACTTAAAACAAAGACTGACATTAACACAATATAAAACTTTAAAAAGCTATTTTGTCTTCCTTTGGCTAACTATGTTTTAATTATCTGTAGCTATATAAACCTAGATGTCTTTCTAAAGTTCCTTTTTATTCATTCTATACATATGCCTTGGCTGAATATTTAAATGAAATTATAGAGCTCCAGTCTTTATTTTTCTGTAAGGTGGCAAAACACTGTTATGTTTTATTTATCCCTGTGAATCTAATGATGCTTTATCTGGCCTGGCCATAGGCATTCATTTTGGAAAGTAGATGGTTTTGTGGCACTTTGTCTGGGGTAGAGATTTCTATATAAACATAGAGCAGTTATAGGTATAGCATTACCTAATGTCGTCAGTCAGGCTCTCTCCCATTTTTAGCTTGCCAGGAAAACAGCTCCCATATGTTAGCCTCACAAGGTCCTGCAGGTATCTGTAGTGTAATAGAAAACCTTGAGATCTGGGATCAAGTCTTTACTCTTCTGTTCAATAACTCAGGAGTCTTCAGCAAGTGCCTCGATCTTTCTAATCTTCAGTTTTCTCACTAGTGAAAGTTGAATAGTTGAGGCTAAGACCGTCTCACCAGGGTATTATGATGATCAAAAGAGACTATGGGGTGGCGCCTGTGACTCATTGAGTTGGGCACCAGCCCCATATACCGAGGGTGAGAGGTTTGAACTTGGCCCTGGCCAAACTGCAACAAAAAAATAGCCGGGTATTGTGAGCGCCTGTAGTCCCAGCTACCCGGGAGGCTGAGGCAAGAGAATCGCCCAAGCCCTGGAGTTGGAGGTTGTGGTAAGCTGTGACATGGCACTCTACAGAGGGTGACAAAGTGAGACTCTGACTCAAAAAAAAAGAGACTGTGCATGTGGAATGTACATTCTCTAATCGAAGGCCCGATGCAAGGTTATCTGTTGTTAGTATTATAGAATGGCTTCCCACGGCTGATGCACTGAGCCAGTCAGAGTAAAGGCTGCATGTCGCTTGTGTCTTGCAGTCTCAGGAATACTCCCTGTCTCCGTGTGTATATCAGCTCCATGTTAGCGTTAAATAGACACAGATTAATGGACTACCCTGGGGATGAAATAGTAATATGAGACATCTGTGAAATGACATAAAGTTATTTACATGCAGTTATTTATTGGTGATTGTTCTTTGGTGCATATTTACATTTTTCCTCTAAAGACCTCAGTCTGCTCTCTGTGTGTCTTTGGGCCTTGCCACCTCCGTTTTTCCATTTGGAAAAACAAACATATAGTTTAAGAAACTTAAATAAAAGTTACAAGTTTCATGAGAGCTAATGTGAATGGTGATATGCCCATATTCTGCTTAGTGTTCTTTATACGAGTACTATAATGCCTTATACTATTTTTGAGTACATATTCACAACACAGTTAATTTTTCTGCTATTCAATAAATGTAAAACATTGGCATTTATTTATTATCCCAAAACAAGTAATTTTCTCTCTTATTAGTAATTTTCTAACAGTCTCTCATAAGACTAAATTAATTAGCTGATTACTTTCTCAACTGTTTCATTTTCCAAGGTTTTCTCTAAAATACATATTTTGGAGATTTCATGGCATCATTGTAAGAAAGGCTCTGTATAATTTTTCTTTTTCTTTTTTTTTTTGAGATAGAGCCTCAAGCAGTCCCCCTGGGTAGAGTGCTATGGCATCAGAGCTCACAGCAACCTCCAACTCCTTGGCTCAAGCGAGTCTCCTGCCTCTGCCTCCCAAGTAGCTGGGACCACAGGTGCCCGCCACAATGCCCGGCTATTTTTTGGTTGCAGCCGTCATTGTTGTTTTTGGTGGGCCTGGGCTGGATTTGAACCAACCACCTTAGGTGTATGTGGCTGGCGCCTTAGCCACTTGAGCCACAGGTGCTGAACCAGGCTCTGTATAATTAAATGGCCCTCACTGGAGCCCAAGCAGATTTCTTTTCCCCTTACTTCCCATCTTTTAAAAATTAAATTAAGGGCTTCTCACTCTTTTTATGATATATTTGTCATCAAAAGTATTTTATGTTGTTAGCTGTATTATAAAACCATATTAAATTGGCATTTTCTCTTTAAACCTTCCAACAGAGTTCAGTTCCTGTCCAGACCTTCCAGCTCAATATTTTGCTCTTACATAGTGTTTTGAATAGAACTTGTGTATTGCGCTGTCAGCCTTAAATTTCGGTTCCTATTTTTGCCTCAGTGGTATAGCTGTTTGAAAGAATTAAACAGCTTAGGAATTGTGTTTTTAGTCTACTTGGGTAGTAATATACTCTTTCCTATTCATTGCCCTTTCAGACATTTGTCAACAAATTTAACAAGCATGTAATTGGGTTCTGTAAGCATAACTATAAATTCAATATAAAGAAAGTTTAATAATACATTCAGATATACAGTTTATTTTATACATACATACACATTCCCAAACACGTAATTTTCCTTGGACTATATAATTTTGAGAGCCTGTGTAAATTATTCTACCAAATTATATTATTCTGCAAATAAGCATGAGAGTAGAATAAAATTAATCATCAGAAACACTGTTTAAATAGCTTATAACTTTACTGGGAAGAAGCTTGAAATTATTTCATGCTTTTGGATTAACTTAACAAAAATTGCTGTCTTTGCTCTCTACATATCCTTTGAATAATCTTATGAATTAATGATTAATAATAATCCTGTGAATTAAGGGAGATAAATTTGTAGGTTTAAGTGATTTTGGTAGTACATGTGTGTCACAAAGGATACATCTTGTTTTCATCTTTTGTGTTAGAAAAATCTAAAAATAGTTCAACTGTAGAATCAATTTTATGAATGATATCGTAATCCCCAACCGATCACAAAACATAACCTGTTCTCAGAAGCCCTGGTCTGATTGCCTTAATATGCTGCTTTTCTTTTCCTTGTCTTTATTTTTTGGGGGAGGAAGGCTTTCTATTGTCAGCGAATGTGGAACTTTTCTTAGGAATTGACTGTCCATACCTTTAAATTTAAGTTTCTTTACTTTTTTTTCCCCAAAATTACTCTCCCCCAAAGTTAGTAAATACAGGGATTTGTGTTGCATGAAAAACTTTAGTACTACCTCAGAAAAAGTGCCTGTTCTTTCTGAAGTGAATGTCTTCAAGAGTGCAGAGAAGGTTACATCTTCAGGAAGTTATGAAGTAACATGCCCTGAATTATATTTTGGGATCTTTATTTCTTTACCTTCCCTATCTCTTCCCATTCTCAGAAATGTCCGCTTGAAAAAAACTCAAGATATTTTAGTTGGCAGCAGCATGAGTTAGAAATGTATTCCCAACAGACAATGTACTTTAATTACCAAAAGCGATCCAAGTTATACCAAGAAATAGGGAACATCAATGTGCCAATTGCACAAAATTATAGAAATAGGAAGTTGAAATAGATTTCAGAAACACTTTGGTGGTAACCAGCCTAACATCTTTAAATGTGTTTATAAAAACATACCAGTTATTTTTGATATTCTTAAAGGCCTGATTGTTACATCAGTATTATCTATCCATAATAGATTATCTCAACTTATTTTGGGAAGAAGCTAAAACCTTTTGCTATGCAGAGCTCTTATTATTTGAGAAAACCTGTTCTCCTTGGAACTTCTGCTACACTGGGTTGTGTGTCCTGCCTTTTGTAGTTCTATAGTGCAGGGGTCCTCAAACTTTTTAAACGGGGGCCAGTTCACTGTCCCTCAGACCATTGGAGGGCTGGACTGCGGGCCCCAGGATGAGTCGGCTGCTAAGTAGGACAGGTGGTGGCAGCAAAAACACCCGGTGGGCCAGATAAATGTCCTAGGTGGGCTGCATGTGGCCCACGGGCCGTAGTTTGAGGATGCCAGCTATCGTGCTTATTTCTCTTCTCTCCCATTCTTCTTTTCCAAAATACTGTTGTTCTCAATGCATTAATCCACCTTGCAATTACCTTTCATATTCCTTTTCATAGTCAGTTCATTATCAAGTATTTACATTGATTAATCCTGTCTTCCATTTTGTCATCTCCCTAGAGTCCCTCCCTGCAGTACCAGGCCTTTCATAGGAGTTCAGCAAATGTTTGGTTGGTGGGAAATGGGCGGGAGAGCAAAGTGAATAAATAAGTGATGCCTTCTCACCTGTACTCTGGTCTTTTCTGTCAAACCATGTATAGGACTGCAAAAGCTGCCCACCCCAAGTGAACCTTATCTGTCTTAGATTTTCATACCTACTTATACTTTTATGACTTCATCCTATTAATAGTTCTACCCTTGCTTTTTAATCGTCCCTCCAAAAAACTGTAGTCATCTTTGACTTTTCTATCCCTTTCTTCTTCGATTACAAATTTGTCTTTTCAACCCAATTTTTTTTTCTTTGAAATTTTCTCAGCTGTAAGCCCCATTCCCATTCTCCTGTTCCCATCACAGCTCAGCGTTCTCATCACCTCCTGCCGGGTTATGAGTGTATCCGCTGCTAACCTTTCCTCACTCCTAAATCATGGATGCCATAAACTAATTTTTGTAAAATGTTGTTTGATTATGTTACTTTTTCAAAGGCTAAGACGAAAACATTGAGAATCTTTGAAGTGAGTGTTTCAGTAAATAGATGAGATTGCAGTAGGTTAAAGAGAAATGGGAAAGTCGGAAGAGGAGCAGGGTGTATAGAATGCTCATCTGAAAAGCTGAGCAGGTGGCTTAGACCGTTGAGAGAAGCCTTGGGGTCAGGTACTGTTTCACTTCACATATTTGTTTTTAAGATAAACCTAAACATAATAAGGGCTGGATTTGTTTTTAAAGCCCCTACATAATTACAGAGTGAAAGAATACTTGAGGAATTGTGATTTTGGAGGAGGCAAGAAAAGGAAAGAGTCCACAGTACAGGTGGATGGATCAAAAACATTTTTTCCTGGGAAAACTTCTATAAAGGATGAGAATATAGACAGAGAGAGGGTGAAATCATTTATAAAATTAAATAAGTGTGGGTGTGGTGGCTCAGGCATTCTGGGAGCCTGAGATGGGAGGATTGATTGAGGCTAGGAGGTAGAGACCACCCTGAGAAAGAACAAGATCCATCTCTACCAAAAACAGAAAAACTAACTGGGCGCTGTAGCGGGTGCCTATAGTCCCAGCTACTCAGGAGGCTGAGACAGGAGGATCGCTTGAACCCAGAAGTTGAGGTTGCGATGTGCTGTAGCCTGGGGCAACAAAGTGAGACTCTCAGTGGATAAGTATGTACATACGTACATACTTACATACATACACACACATACATACATACTGTGTACAAACATACCTGATAGTATCCAGTGAACTAGTTGATTTCATTCTTAACTCTGTGATCCTTTGTTTTCCTTCAGCATGTCGACATCGCGGCATTACTGATAAAGTACAACACATGCGTGAATGCAACGGACAAGTGGGCCTTCACTCCTCTCCATGAAGCAGCCCAAAAGGGAAGGACACAGCTGTGCGCCCTTCTCCTGGCGCACGGTGCAGATCCAACAATGAAGAACCAAGAAGGTCAGACACCTTTAGACCTGGCAACAGTAAGTCCTCATTTCAGATACTCAGTGTTGGCTACACTTTCAGAAATGACATTAAATTCTAGGACTGATAATAAGAATGAAGATTTATTTCTGAACATTTTTAAAGTTTATACATTTTATATGAAAATATAATTTATAACTGTTAAGACAAACTAGTAAGTTAATTTATTTTGTCATACTTAGACTGGTGGGAAAACATGAATCATAAGAAAACACATTTCTAATGTGTATCCATAGAGAATTACACTTAGTAAAATATTTTGCATGTCTGTGTTATTGTTGAACAACTAACGTTCATGATAATTTGCCTGTCTCTGAGATGGTTTGGAAAATATTTCCACAGTATATTAATTTACTTTTCCATTGTTAGAGAGTAGTATAGTACTAAGAGTTAATTTTTCTCCGACTATCTCACTGACAGGCAAATTATCGTGAAAGAATTAAAATTTTGTGGTTAACCAAAAATTAAACACTGCATCATCTTCTTTGAACTTTCTAAAAATCAGGGAGTTATTCTATAGTCACATTATTTTATAATTTTGAGTATTATAAATTACATTCTAATTGGAAAATAATATTTTTCCAAGTTACATTCTGTCTCATTTATTTATTGCTGAATTACAAACTATTTCAAACCAGTGGTTTGATGTAATAATGATTTGTTATTTCGTGGGAAGCGTGAGGCTGATCTCATCTGGTCACCTGTGCAGCTGCTCACAGCTGGTGGCTGGAACAGGAACCTAAAGATGGTTTCACTCATGTGTCTGGGGCATTGGCAAAGATGGCTGGAAGAATGAGTTCTCTCCATCTATCCCTCATGGTGTCCCATCATTAAGTAGTCTTGCTAGAACTTCTTTACAGAATGATTGCATCTCAAGAGAGAAAAAGCAAAAGCTGCCGTTCTTCCTTAAGGCCAAGCCCGGAACTGACAGTGCTGTTCCTTTACCACATTCTGCTGTGCAGAGCAAGGGGATCAGGAAAATAGACTCTACCTTCTTTGAAAGGAGACACAAAAACATGGTGGCCATCTTTAATCTACCATAGTTCTCCCTGTGGATAAAAATTATTTACATTTTTCCCATATTCAAACTGTATATGTGTCGCCCCCCCTACCCCACCCCAGGAGGAGGCAAGTAGCTGGTCCATGGCATTTCTGAAATCCAGCTAGGCACGTATTAGGGCCGTCTACTCTGGAGTCAGGGGATGGTCCTTGATTAGGGCCTCCTTCTGTTCCCAGAGCGGAGTTTCTGTATTTCTTGGCTGTATCCTCTGATTCATCCTCTTTCTGTAAGAAATGGCTCATAGTTTCAGCTAAATGGCTTTCTCAATCTGTTCCCTGCTCCTAGAAATCTGGAGTCCCTGAGCCTTTTTCAGTTTGATCTATCTGTCCCTTTTGGTCCCTTTTTCAGTTGGATCTATCTGTCCCTTTTGGTCCTAACTGGTACACCTTTTTTATAAACTTCTGGGTTTCCCATCAAGTTATATGCCACTACATCAAACAAAAGTCCTAGCCACAAATTTCTTCAAGATCAGTTCTTGAAGAGAACTGTACAGAAGTTTGGAGGACTCCAAACTTCTGTATAACATGGCAGATGGCTTCTAAGAAAGTAAATGTAGACACTGCCAGTCCTCTTCAGGCCCGGCTCTGAAACCTCAGGATATCACTTCTGCATTCTGTTGGGCAGAGCAACTCATAGGACAAACTAGATTCAGTGAGAAGGAAACAGGTGACGTGGGGATCGGAGGAAGGAGCTGATGGCTGTCTCTGGAGAGAATCTCCTGCATACTCCAATAGCAGTCATAACTAATGCTTACAAACCGTAAAATCCATAAATATATGAGCCAAATTAAAGTGTCACCCCTATAAAATTTTACCAGATGTCAATCTTACATTAAATTATTCAATGTGCACTAAATAACCAAAGATTATTGTAGTTGTTTAATCATAAACCAAACTTAGTAAATATGGAAATTCCTTCTAAAGAAGAATGAGAATCAACTCTCTGAAAGTACTTCTCCTTAAAGGAAAGAAGAAATATTTTTAAAGATCACATAATTTCTCTCGTTCTGTCTACTAAAACTACCTAGACACTTTGCAGCTGGGGAGAGAAGGAAAAAGGAAGGAATGATCAAAAATCGATAGGGAATAATGAGGCATTCATTAAGGGAAATACTTACACAGCATTTTATCCTTAGTGAAAATAAGCATCCTTTTAAAATATATTATATTTGCGTTTTTTTGAATTATTATTTTTAGGCTGACGATATCAGAGCGCTGCTGATAGATGCCATGCCCCCAGAGGCCTTACCTACCTGTTTTAAACCTCAAGCTACTGTAGTGAGTGCTGCTTTGATCTCACCAGCATCCACCCCGTCCTGCCTCTCTGCGGCTAGCAGCATAGATAACCTCACCGGCCCCTTAGCAGAGTTGGCAGTAGGAGGAACCTCCAACGCAGGGGACGGTGCAGCCGGAGCAGAAAGGAAGGAAGGAGAAGGTGAGTATGCCCTGTGAGCCCATCTTGTTTCTGTGTGCTGTTTTTATGGAACAGATTTACTTTGTTTATGGGGGCGAGGGGCAGGCGCTGGGTTTGAACCCACCACCTCCCGTATATGGGGCCAGCGCCCTACCCCTTTGAGCCACAGGTGGCGCCCGGAACAGATTTACTTTTTTCTACTGGCAGTTATTGCCCCCCTCACTTAGAAAATACATCCTATCTGTAGGCTTTCATACACATGAAAGTATAAGAAATACTTCCTCCTAGAAGACTGCAGATTCCTCAGCATCCACTCGCTTCTATAGGATGTCTATGTCCAGGCACAGTGTTTTATTGAACTACTGAGCAGGACTAATTACTGAAATTATGTCAACAAACAACTGAGAAGTTATTTAAGGAATGGAAACTAAAACAATAGCTGGGATATTTAGGTTTTTTTATATAATTCATTGAAAGCATTAGATTATCTTGAATAAAATAGTATTTCATAATATTAGAACTATAATTTATGCTATTATGCTATATTAATTATAATATTTTGTATTTATTATATTTCATAACCTATAATTCTATGTGCTAGCTATAATATTAGAATTCACACAAACACTCCTGATTTGATAAAGATAAAATACTTTCACTTCTCAATCAAATTCAGAGAACTTGACGTGTTATACATTCTGTATTATTTTATGTGGAATTCCTGTATAGCCACGGGTGTCAGCCTTGGCTTCAAATAGATAGTAAAACTTCCTTTAGATGCTTGAAATTCTGAGAAGCTTTAATATGTTTCTGTTTAGTTGCGGGTCTTGACATGAATATCAGCCAATTCCTAAAAAGCCTTGGCCTTGAACACCTTCGGGATATCTTTGAAACAGAACAGGTAAACTTTCTTATATAGTATTTGAGTCTTTCTAGTTAAATATTAAGAGTTATTAATCATCGCCCACACTTTCTTTTTTGCTTCTTCATAGCTATTTTAAATCTCACAGTGTATTTCAATAGAAGCCAGGGGAGCCTAGTATGTTATAGTGTCCCCAAAATTGACTCAGCAGATGGTAGTCTTTAATTGTTATTTTATTTTTATAAGCAATCTGGCTCTCTTGTTTTATTATATGGGAACACTTAGACCATGAAACTACCTCAAAAGAAGTGTTTTTAGCGTTGTCTTTGTTGTTTGGGTTTCCAAAAAGTGTTGTCATTGATTCATCTCATTTCACCATTGATGTGCCCAGACTCCTGAAGTCATTTCCATTAATTGCAAAAGCAAAATCATACTTAAGGAATTGTACTTTTTCATAATTGCTGCTTTATGAAATGTCTTTTTTCCAGTTGGAGTCTGAAAAAAGTGTTGAACCAAAAGTTAGCCACACACTCAAATAGATTCATTCTGTTTTCAGACACATCTTAAATGTCTTTAAAAGCCTATCATTAGGGCACTTATGAATTAGGATCTTTCTGTTGGCTGTGCTTTTTTTATACAGGATAATGAGGTTTTAACTTAATATTGTTTTATTATCATAGCATTAAATATCAAATGTGATAATAAATTCCTGAGTTTAAATTGACTACTGATATACAGAGTATCTTAGGATGGGAAGGTGTTTAGAGATGACTCAGTCATTCTCCCAAGTTTAGGAATAACCTCTGTAACATTCCTGTCAATCCTCCAGCCAGGGAAGACAACTTGTTAGGGTTTGGGGCAGGCGTAATAGAATGCTTGTAATTTAAGGAGTATCAAATGTACGTATAATCCATTTGTTTTAGATTTATGCTTACCTCATTGTGCCTAGAAATCTAATCACAAGTCCTTGACCAAAGTATTAAGTTTTGTAGGGCTACCATAATAGATGACCCTAAACTTAGGTAAATAACAGAAATTTATTCTCTCACAGTTCTGGAAGTCAGACGTCTGAAATTAACATGTTGGCAGGCTGTGCTCCCTATAGAGGATCTAGGAGAAGATCCGCCTCGTGCCTCTTCTAGATGCCGGTGCTCAGCAGCTCCCTTGCCTCATGGCCTCACTATTCCACTTTCCACTTTCCTCCACGCATTGCTTTCTCCTCTGTGTGTCTCCTGTAAGAGCATTGGTGTTGAATTTAGGACCTACCAATAAAATCCTGGATGATGTCCTCATCTCAAGTTCCTTAACTTAATTACATCTGCAAACACCTTTTTCCAAACATGGTACATTCACAGGCAGTGGGGATCAGAACACGGGCATGTTTTCTGGAGGGCCCTCGGGAGCCCACTACTACACAGGAAAGCCCTTCATGCCTTTTCAAGACCTGGTAACTTAATGTGGACGTTTCAGCCCCCTGCCTCAACAGATCTTCCCCTATTTTAGAATAAGTTTATATGTTTATTTCAATATTCTTTATATGATATAGTTTCAAGTCTTCACCAGCTTTTTGCCCCATTTTTTGTTACTTTCTAGGCCTATAGTCAATTTGAAGTTAATTAAAAACCTTGGGTCTTTTCTCTTTTTCACAATAATTATACCATTAAGGTTTTCTTCTGGTTTCTTTTTTTTTTCTTTTTTTGTGTTTTAGCTAAATAAACTTTTTATATTATTTGTTGTAGTCCACCTGTAATTTTTTTTTTT